GGGAAGAGAACTGATTATCTACCTTCCTGCTTTTCTTTTGGAAAAGGAATGTTCTGCCTGGCTGTAACAGAGAAAGCAGGCAGGTCTGTAGGGAAGGGATCCTTTAAAGTGGTTTAAAGAAGCGAGTTCCACACATTTCAAAGAGCAGTTCCAACCCTAAATCACTTTGCCAATTTCTCCTACCTTGCAATATTCCTTTCCTCCTCCTTCATGTTGTATGGAAGAAACAAAAAAAAGGAAATTAATGTAAGGACTACATGCAAGTAGAGTCCCTGCAATTTCATCAGGGATTTCTCTGTCAATAAGTGTCATGCCTCTGGCCTGTGCTTGCCCTGAACAGGTGAATTGCATACATAATTACTCTGAAACATTCCAGACGCACTGGATTTACTACTCACACAGATATCAGAAGCCCTTTTCACTATTGCTGTACCCACAGCAAAGAGGAAGAAACCACTCTCCTGTGGGTGTCAGAACCTCTTAGAGTTGAGCAATTAGGACATAAATAAAGGCAAACATGTTGAGTTCCCTCCCCAGGTGTCAGTTTCAGACGGTGATGGATGGAAAGAGTAATCGGATAATGTAAGGCAGGGACATGAGCTGATTTGTCCAGGTGCTGGAAACACATCTAGATAGATTCTCTGGACGTCCAAGGGCTCTTGTCAGAGCTGAAACTCCTGCTGAGCTGCTACACAGATGTGAAATCCCCAACTTCTACTCCAGTAAAATTTATAGATGGAAAAAAGGGGTATGTCTGCAGAAAACCAGATGGATGGTAAACTTTCTTAGACTTGTGCCACAAGTACTTCATAAAGCATTTTGACTTCTGTACAAATTCTGACTTTTTAGTTTTACATTTTACACAGTCTTCTCCCTTAGGCTGTGACCCCTGACTTCCAGAATCCATTCAAAGACCCTCTTCATCCCTGCAATATCCTGAAAAGTCCATTTGAAGCCATTTGTGTGCTTTTCCATGCCTGAAGCTCTTGCTCTGCAAGGCAGGAGGGCACCAGTCAGGCCTGGTGACAGACAAGGGGACAAAGCACATTCTCCTCCCAGCAGGACAAGCTCCCTCCTCGCCCGTGGAGCTGCTCCTACCCAAACCACGGTCCTGCACCCAAGACTGGCATCTAGTGGCAAATGCAAGTGCCCTCTCCTTCTCTGGCAGAGCACTGAAGCACTGACCCAGCAGCGAAGGGCACTGTGTGTTCAGCACTTGAGCCCAGAGTGGCAGCTGCTGGGACTGAATCCTTGGTGGAAAAAATATTTTATACCCTTCTTCCCATAACTATTTCATCCCTGACTATACACAGTTGCTTTTAAAGGAATACATCTATTGAAAACCGAAGATAAGCAATTTCCTTCTATTATTTTCAGTGAAAGAAATCCCTTCCTTTAAGTATGGTCACCATGTTTAATTTTATACTGTCACTGTAGGAAAGTTTACTGCAAAATCTAATTTAAAGTATATTTTTTGGACAGCACAGTAATGTTCTGTTTTTGTTACTGAATAAAATAACTAGTAGCAGGGTTTTTCTTAGGAGGTCTTTAATGCTTCATTACTAACCATCCAATTTATTTCACATAAGGGAAAATAGATTTTCTTCTGGAAATTTGTAGTGAATTTCAGGGCAAAGTCAATTCCAACAAAACTGATTTAGCAATACCCACAGGTGATGGCATGAACTCTATTTAAGGCAAGGAAATTGCCTTTCAAACTCTTGGCAAGAATTCCGAAAGCTTCAGAGCAGTGAGTATGCTGAGTTAACAGAGGAAATACTCAGTAATTAACAACTAAATCTCAAAAATTAAGACTTGTCAGATCTTCAGGTCAAAACATGAAGCGCTGTCTTTTGGGGGATGAATCACATGGCCACTCACTGAGTGCAGTGCTTGCCACATGTAACTAAGTCACTGAAAGATCAAATTAATGCAAAACCACAATGAAATATTTTCTAACCTTGTACATAATAAATAGAGTAAACATCACAGAAAGTTAATTTAAAGATTTTCAACCGAGAAAATACTTAATTTTGATAAAGTTAGGGGGGAGCTTGGGTGTTAGAGTTTTGTATTTTCTTTTTAACTTTAGAGGTTGCAGTTGAAGATAAAATGCATATAGTTTAAAACTTGAACTTACAAAAAGAGTGACAATCATTTTTATATCTTTTCAACCACATGTCATTAGACTTTCTTTTATGACTTTTGGCTCTCCAGGTCAAACTTTATATCTTCCAAAGGGAAAATAACTTCAACCATTTCTAAAAAGATAATCTGTCCCATGGAGCAAAACCCACTTTCCATGAGGGCAGACATTTATTTCACATACATATATATGAAAGGCAATTTTAATATTATGTAAATACTCATTTATCTATCTATACAGCTACCTAATTTTGTTACAAGCAGGTTTATGAGTTTTGGAAGGAACCACCACACAGGAAAGGAGATCTGTATGAAAGCACTGTGGTCATGAAAGTATGCTCCACAAATATGGCATTTCTGAAACATCTGACAAACCTCCACCACATCACAGCACTGAAACTTCTCCTACCCTCAACCTCTTCATGTTACAAAATGAATAAGCTTTTCTAGGCAAGCCTTGTGAAGTTCACAAGTAGGAGCACAACCTCCTGAGGACTCTCAGAAAACAAAAACAATGTCTGGAAAAAGCAGTCTTAGGATATATTTCTAACTACCATAATTAAAGCTCAGGCCAACGGAAATATTTCTGTGGATGATAAATACATTTCTTAAAAAAAACATTGCCATGGATATTGTCACACTATGTAACAGATTTTTTTGAAGTATCATTTCCTAAAAAATAAAAAGTGCATTGATTTTTGCTTTATGCTCAGACATAGAAAGAACACAAAGCAACAAGACAATTAGACAAAATGATGGATTTGAACACATGCTGCATTTTACTGTTAACATGTATGCATAACTTCCATTAATGTCAGTATGAGTTATGTGTGCACTGCTATAATAATATGACCATAGCAAAAATATTTCCTCCAGAACTAATAGAGTAATATTTTTAATAGACATTAAAAAAAAAAAATTTGGAAATTAACATGCAACTGCAACTTCTTCTTAAAACTTATACTTTCAAACTCTTTAAAATAAACCTTACTTTTTTCACAAATTGGCATCAAGTTAAGAAATAATTGATTTTATCAAACTACCTTTCATTTAATGAGTACTTATCTTGTTTACAGTTCATAAAAACCAACCAGATATGAGCAAGACAAGGTTGCTCTCCATTTTTATTCTAATCTTTCGTAAATAACCAAATTTATATGGGGACAAGAAGTGACAATTGAAGAAGTTTTCTAAAACTGACAACTGATTGTGGCCAGTAAATTAAGATGCATCTTGGCAATGACAGTCAAATGGGCCCAGAATGCAGAGTTATGGTTGGAACTTGATCATAACAAAAGCACAGGAAATCATCATGAACGTTCTTAAACACGACTTCATGCCATTTAACTGGAAACTCATAGCCAAAAACTGTAATCGCTGGATATTGATTTTTTTAAACAACAAATACAAATTATTGGTCAATGCTTCCAATTAATAAGTCACCTTAAAAAACAAATAGGCTCTTTGCTACTGAGTCTTTCACTTCTAATACCACTCACCCAGCCCTCTATTCATAAAATAGAACAGCTTTTGTCAAAACAATTTCTACATCACCAGTTTTTGCCAATCTTGTTTTCCAGATTGTTCTGTGAGGTTTTGTGTACCAAATTTTAAAAGTCACATAAACTGAATTAGAGATTTTTTTCCTCTTTTTTTTTGAGCAATTATTAATTATGATTTTTAAAGAATAAAAATCTTATGATTAGGACAAAAGAGAAGGCACTTGAGGAAACAGACCAAAGCACTATACAGAAAATAGATAATGGGAACTGAGCATCTGAGTTATGATGGGACAATTAATAAGTATATATAACTTAATGCTTTAAAAAATCTTTTTAAATGTATCTATTATAAAATGTAATGCCACATAGTATTCTAATTCTAATTCCATTTTTCTGTATGGATGTAGATCTCAAAGTCAAAACCAGAAATTCTTTAGATAACTCTGGAAATATTTGTGCTTCCATTACATTGAATTTCTGCACCTGTATAACCTGGCAGACATTCTTAAAATCCACTTTTATAAAACCTTGCTGACTATGTGACTCCATTTCCACTTTGCCTTATTTACAATAACATTATGAAAACCATTCTTTCTGATTATTTCCCTTCCTTTAAAATCAAGGACAACTGTAAAAACTGACCCGAACTTATATATGGCTTCCACACTCAAAAAAACTGTTTCAAAATTACAACTGTGAATTTTCTTTGTCGAATGTTAACTACATAATTATCAGCCTAGCCAAGTCATAGCAGGTTCACCCTTTTTTGCAAATTTTAAAGATCATTTCAGTGCTTGTATGTCCCATAATTATAAAGACTTATTTTTCTTTGCATGGAGGAAGTTCAATTTAAATTATATGTGTCTCTTTCTTTTTCATTCTAAACATATTCACAGGGGTAAAGTGTATGCAGAAATTCATTGTTAGTTTTGGGGTATTTTTAACCAATTCAAAGCAATAAGCTTTGCACCATCAATAGAAAATTAATAACTCCCTTCCCTTGCATGTGACACTGGCAGAGATTCCAGCACTGCATTCCCACTGAGAGATGGGGCTTTAGATTTTCAGTTTCTCATAGAACTTACATAGTACTGATAGTTTTACTTGCATGCAACAAAGGACAACTTACAAAAAATGTTGAGTACTTCTAAAATGAAGACTTTTGCACTTCTATGCTTTCAAAGGAATTTAAATGTCTCAAAACTATTAAAAGTTTTTAGATTGAGACTTAAATATATGCAGAGAAATAACAAAAAACTAACACCAAAAGAAACCCATCAAAACTTTATCCTATGGCAAAAGCAGTTATTTTCCTTTTTTTCCCCTAGAAATTAGAGAAATCAAGATACTTACTTCATTTCTAGAATTTCTTCAAGCTGTTTCCTTCGCTCTATTCTCAGGTTAGCCAGATGTGCTTCTTTTTCAGCCAAAGACTGCTGTGTTGAGGCAAGACGGGCTTTGGTAGAATCTAATTCTTGTCTGGTTTTCTCCAGTGCATTCATCAGCTCTTCTACCTGAGAGAGAGGACATTTTCAACTCCATGTTCTTTACCAGAAGAAAATATTAAATTCATATAAAAACAGGGAGGGGAAAAACACACTAAAGGAATTCTTTTCTATAAATGGCTGCTCAAATCGCTTTCCATCATAACTGTTTTAAAAACTGACAGTAGTGTTTCAGAACCAAAAAAAAACCACCTCAAAGTTTCTGTGAATCCATTAGCAATAAACAATATTTATACAAAATAGAGCTAACACCAGAAACCTATTTAACCTGGGCCACTGCCACATACAGATACAATTTATAAATATGTCCTGCACCATTTTTATTATTTAAATTCAGGGCGGTGGTAACTCATTATAGAAGTTATTTCAGAAATTTTAAATTTAGCTATAGATGCATGTTTTGATATAAAAGTGTTAATGAAAGTCCAACATTTTTCATGAAGAATGCACACCTTTGCAAAACAGGTTGCCCAGGGAAATTCTAAACTCTCCAGTCCTTGAGTATTTTAAGATTTTGATTGAATGAAGCCTGAAGAGTCTGATCCAACTTGGAAGTTATTTCTGCTCTGAGTACAGGTTTATAGCGCATTGCCTCTAGTGATCCCTTCTAATCAAATTATTCTGTCATCCTGAAGTTTAAAGGTCTGTAACTGCTCTAATAACAATCAAGTTCTTTTCCTCCTGATATACTGTGAGAAGCTCTGAAGCATGAAGTGTAGCAAAATTGGGATGATCCCATTTTGTCCTGGAGAAATGTCATGGAAAAATTTTAAAAATTGAGACAACATAATGGCACCTGTCTGGCAGCAGAAGTTTTATTTGTGGGGTGAAGCATCTTCCATGAATGGCCTCCAGTAACCAGTATAACAAATGATACAGTTCACATAAAGTGAAAATAGGTTTTTTAAGTGAGACATAATGATTTGAATAATTAATGTCCTATTTCCTGTATGCTCTTTCTCACCTCCTTTGTCCAAATATTATTATTTCATAAACTAGAAAACACCTCAGGGAGAACCTCTAAATGAAATAAAATAAAATGAGAAAGGTTATATATTCCCTTCGTCCATGTTATGCAAAGCATTGAAAGGAGTTCAATTTTGCTGTGAATTGAGAAGTCTGACCAAGTTCCACAGTGCTCATATCAGTGCGGCTACTTCTCCCAAGCTCATGCTCAACTCTTGTTCTCTAAAGCCTCCTAGTAGGCAATCAGTGCTTACAAGCCATTTTTGTTTCAATTCCAATATAGATGGGCTTCTATATAAAAAGTTTAATTAATAACACAAACAGATAATAGAGTTGTCATGAATTATAATGAGGACTCACAGCCCATTTGCTAATGACAGTGATTACTCCTTCCACACCCCCTCAACAAACACTCTAAATCAGATCAATTAAATACTAGAACGTGTCTGATATGAATGCAGATCAGAATTACCAACAGTATTGAAACTACTGATGTTCAACCTTCCACTCAGAATGTAAAAGCAGTGTAATGGTGATATCAATGAAACAGCAAGGAGTGCAACTCAGGAGACTCTGCAGATGCAGGATTCCACTGAAGAAAGCAAGAAGAAAGATGATGACTTGAGATACCTTTGTAAAATGACTGTCTAGTGAATGTTCTTAGAAGCAGCAAAGAGAACATATACTTGAGGGAAATAAAGAAATAAAAAAGTTGGAATTGCACTTAAATCCCATGAAAAAAAGAATTAACAGGCCAGAAGGAAAGAGATCATATTTCTTTAAAAACAGATTCAATTTCTAACATAACACCAAGTACTTTATATTCTGCTTTAGTGCAAGAGCATATACTCATGCTGTCTCCAACAATGACAAGGCTCAACTACTAAAACAAAGGATATTTCTAACTGTTTTCTGGGTTATTTCCTAGGCTTTTCCTTGTACCTTTTAAAAACTGCATCTAGTTTCTGCTGAGCATCCACCCTATCACTTAATTCCAGAAAACAGAGCTTAATGGAAAGTGTAGTAGGGTGAGAACAGGAAAGTCATTAATTCAAACAGACTCCAGCTTTGAGACAGTATCTTTAAACACAAAGACATTCCCCACTTGCAGATTTGTTGGGCAAATGAGAATGTAAAAAAGTAGAATTCTTGAACTTCTGTATTTTTAGTATCATTGTGCTCCCTTCCCATGTTCTCAGTTTGGTACCCAACCTGATGATTGACTGAATCCTCACCCAAAGTTCATATCACATATATCACATAAATTACATTTCAAAACATTTAAGAGAATTAAAGACTTGTGGAAAGCAAAGCTGTGGATTTGTTAATGTCTATTAGTAACACACTCTTACACTGCCAGACAAAAGAGATCAAAGTTTAAAACAAAAGGGAAAAAAACTTCAAAACTTAAATCTGAAAACTTTTTCAAACCACAAATCATTAACACGTGTCGACTTGAAAGTTTTATTTGCATTTACACTTTCAACACAGTATTTGCCAGCTAGTTCTTCCTTGATTTTTCAAATATGACCCAAGTTTGTGGCTGCACGTTTTCCTAGTTAACTGTCCTACTAACACCTACAGCCAAATTCAACTGGCAGGCATGTGCACAAGAAACTGTTTTTAAATCCATTCCTATCAAATGTAAACATGTGAATGTTGAAGTTGCACAAACAATCCTCTCATCATGTTAATTATATAGCTATAGGAGATGTTACAAGGGAAAATTTACTTCAACCACTGACGGCAGTATTAGAGATGAAAATTTTGGTTTCAGGCAATCCCTGCCCCAGCTCAGCAGCACCACCTGGCAGGGGCAGAGGCACTGGGGGCAGTTCCCACCTGGAAGCTGCTTCCTTTTCCCAGCCCTATCCCTCAGTGTAAATGCTCCTAATCACAAACCCTGCATGGTTTGAATTCCCAGGAACACAAGTTTGAAAGACTTTATGGTGAGAACCTCAGTGCATGCACTTAGCTCAGGAATATTCTATGCCCTGAATATGTTATTAGCTGGGTTTTCTTCCCTTTTGCAAGACAATGGCCTCATTTTATCCTTTGCATTTTGTAATAAAGGCCTTTTTTTTCATACTTTCAGAAAGAGCTTAACTGACCTCGGCACTTTGAGGATTTTATTAAAATATGCACTAGAATTAAGTTTGCATTTCAGAATGGCAGAAACCCAGCAAATTAAACTACAGTAATTGTTTCTTAGTTTAGAGTCTATTTTCAGTGAACACACTCTATTTGTACTGCAGCTTCACATTTTTAAGTGCTATCAGCAGTGTTTCACACCAAGATAAGAAAAGAAAAAAATGAATGTGGCTGAAGAATACATCTGAGCTACCAGATTCTGCAAATTAAAGGAGGTTAGAGTTCAAATGAATGACAGTTTATTAAAAATGCCCTGGAGCATTCTTAATTCCAGATTGGATTCGGCTCAGTACAGCTCAGGCTAACATAATACTGCTCCAGTTTGTGGGAATGAGGAGGGGGAGGGACGATTGCATGTTTTCTCAGTTCAAGTATAACATATTTCTGCAGGATGACGAAGAGCTGGCATCATTCCAGCAGTCAAGGTTAGCATGGTTAGTACTACTACCTTTAAAGGGTTGGCACTTCATTTTGGAACAATACTGGTGATAAATACAAGAGTTTTGGATTTCCCTGACTTTTTCAAGTATCAGTAGCTACACAAGAATTTCATACCTATTTTATTTTAAAACCTAATCTTGTTTTAGCACACAGCTCTTTCATGAATTTTACAGAGTAAAAGGAAATGAAGAAATCCATCTATTTAAAGATTCTTTTACTTTAATATTAAAATATTAACCATTAAATTTTTTAAAAAGTTTAACAAACAATTACATTCATTCAATAAAGCTGGATGCATTTTGATAATAAGTCATTCAGTGTAAGAATCCATGCAGTTGTTTTGAAAGGGTTGGGGTTTTTTCCATTTCCTAAGGAAATGCCTTTTTTTCTCTACACCAAGTTACACACTACATAAATCTCAGTTATCTCCAGTTCTGTGAAGATTATTTTAATAAAAATAATATTTGGGGGTTTTCCCCTTAGATTAAGCATGAGATTGTAAAAAAGGAAAGACTATAATCCTCAAACTTTCTCTTTGTGGCTTTCCAACAATTTTATTCTGTCACTGGCCTAAGTGGACATAGAAAACACATTCACAGAGATGAGGGAAGAAAGATAAAAGCTGGAATTCATATGCACCAAACATCTACCCATCAGCTCTTTCAACTCTCAGCCTTTGCCATGCACACATTGCCGGTGCCTCACACAGTGAAGCTGAGTGCCAGGCATGCCAGGATGCTGTGCCAGCAGCTGCTGGCCATGCAGGGAACCACTTTATGTCATGGCCAATTCAATTACACACCTACAGGAGGGCCAGCACCAGTCACGTGGACCTACTGCTTTTCAAACTGCCAGTGCTGTCCTGCAGGATGGTTTGTAAATACCTTGTTCCTTTCTGTTTCTAACACAAATTTCCCCAGTACGCAACTGCCTCAACAGTTTCATTACAAAGGTGTTTTCCACAAAAGCAAACAGACATAGCAAAGTGTCATCCTGAGCTTTGCAAGACATGGAAATAAACTCTTTGTCACCCTCCCCTCTACTCTCTTCCCATCCCATTTGTCATCCATAGACAAATTCCTCACCTCTGACTTCCATCACAGTTCTTAAAGCCAGGAAACAGGTCTAACAAAACCAGGACAGTTCTGGAGGCTGATGCTCCTGAGCCTTGCCAAACAAAGAAATTAGACACATGCTGTATCTCACAACTTTGGAAATTGTCAGAGAAAGGTAACCATACTGTAGAATGCATAAAAGCTTTAAAATAAACATCATAAGTGAAGGATTTGACAGAATATTAAGCAGTATTTATAAACTCCAGGTTGGTTTTCCAACTCATAAAATACTACACACGTAGGGCCAGTGACATCAGCCAGCAATGCAGTGGCAGTCCAACACCAAGCACCAGAAGCACTGCAACAGCAATCCCCAGGGCAGGGCCACGTCCTTAG